AAGGCAGAATAATGCGTCGACAACCACTCCCCAACGCCGTCATCGATGACAGACGGTACGGCACCGATTCGGTTTCCCATTTGGACATCGGCCTCGGCACCGACGGGAGGAACATCCGCCGATCCCTTGTGGGTCTCTAGACGTGTGAGATAGCTCCCCCCCCAAACCGCCCCCCCACGGGACCCCAAACCGGAGATTTGCACTCCCCCCTGGCCGCGCCAGACCCCGGACTGAGCGCGTCATGGGCGGAGGCCCTAAAACAAGCCAAGAGGGCACCCGGACACCCCCAAGACGGCCCAAGAGGCCTCCAAGACGCCCCAAGAGGCCGCCTGCACGCCCCGAGAAGCCTCCCAAAGGCCCCAAGAAGCCTCCAAAACGCCCCAAGAGGCCTCCAAGACGCCCAAGAGACCTCCAAGAGGCCTCCAAAGAGGGCCCAAGAGGCCAAAATCGTTGATTCTCATTTGTTTAAAAAATGTTTGTCGCTTTCTCGCTTTTTAGCTTCCCGACGCTCCAAAACCGCCCAACAGGCCCCCAAGAGCGCTCCAAGACGGCGCAAGAGGCCACCACGACGCCACCAAAACGGCCCAAGAGGGCCGCCAGACGGCTGAACAGCAGCCCAAGACGGCCAAAGAGGCGCCCGAGACGGGCCCAAGAGGGCCCCTCTGAGAGGGACCACGAACCGAAACACATGGTATTCCGCCTCAAGAAACCTCCAGGAAACCCGAAGAGGCCCCAAAGAGGCCCAAACAAAAACCCAAGAAGCCTCCAAAACGCCCCAGGAGGCTCCCAAGACGCCTCCAACAAAGGCCCCCAGGAGCCTTCCGAACTGTTTGCGGAAAGCCCGCGGCAAGTCTCCCCGCAAGATCCACACGGTCATCCCCGAACGCACCGGGTGATCGAGTCGCGCCCAGCCGCGGCGACGAGCGGGGCCCCCGAAGGCGAGGTTTTCTTCCCCGTCTCCTCCGTCGCACATCCCGAAAACTCACCAGGCATAGAAGTACTGACCCGTGCACCAAATCGTGACACCACATCCTCCTCCTCTTCCTCCTCCTCCGTTTCCTCTTCACTCCCCTCCGGGGAATCTACCCTCCTCCTCCTCCTGCTCCTCCTCCTCCTCCTCCTCCTCCTCCTCCTCCTCCCCCTCCTCCTCTTCCTCCCCCTCCTCCTCCCCCTTCTCCTCCCTTCCTCCGCCTTTTCCTCCGTTTTCCTCCTCACGGCCCCTCCTCCTCCTCCTCCTCCTCCTCCTCCTCCTCCTCCTCCTTCCGCCTCCTCCTCCTCCTCCTCCTCCTCATTTGTCCCTCCTACTCCTCCTCCTCCTCCTCCTCCTCACGCCTCCTCCTCACCCCTCCGCTTTCTCCGTCGTCTCCATCTTTGTTTTCCCTCCAAAATCAATCGGCTTCGTCTTCCCTCTCGCTCTCCCCCACCGGTCCTACTTCAACGGTATGATTTGCATGCCTTGCATTTCAGGGCGCCCTTCTTTTTATCACGCGGGACGCTGCTACTGTCCACGGAAAAGGCCGACATCGGGAATGTCTTCTGGCACTTGCCACTGCCTTGATAGGCTTGCCAACTGCGCGCCGCGAACCCGTCGGCAATGCAATCTGCGCATGCGACCTTGCTCTTCCTCGTGAGTGTACAGTCTTTCGGTCGTCGCTGATGTGCTGCTGCCGAGCGTATTCCTTCTTGCGCGATGCACACGTCAACCGTCGCTTCAACCGCTTCGCCTCATCGGCTACCCCTTCGCGGTCTCGCCGCGTTTGATACAGTCCTCGCACACCACGTTGTCTCCCCTCGTCCGATGATGATTCACCTGGTCTCGACTCACATGGCCTGTCTCCCGAAAACCCACCCCGCATCCTGGCGCGCAACACTTCAACGGCTCCGCCTCTGCCTCCGCCTTGCGCTTCCCACGATTGGACTCGCGCGTCGACCTCTCGCGTTCTCCCGCGCATTTCCGACGCAGCCGCGCTCCCGCTGCATTGCGTTTCTTCTGTGCATCCGACACTCCCGCCTGCTCATCAAACAGCGCCAGGCGCGTCTGCCTCGAACATCGCACTCTTAATCCGCTGTCCTTCCACTTCGCGTCGGCCGCGAGCGACTTTGTGATGCCTTGCATCGGTGCAGTTGGCACAATACAAAGCCCGAATCTTCTTCGCCCCCCCCCGTCGCCACTACTTCCCACGCCCCCATCGCCGCCCCTCTGGGCGCGCCCGTCCCCCTCCGCTTTCGTGGCCCATGCGTCCGCGGTGCACTCTCTACAAAAGGCCGGCCTCTCTTTCCGCAAAAACTCGCACTTCGTGAACGCCTCCACCGGCAGCCTATGTCGGCGCCGCTCGCACTGGTCTCGCGGCATCAGCTTCGCCCCCCACTCATGACAATCCACGCTCCCCGCTCGTGGCACCTGCAGCGACATCTGCGCGCCCGGCCCCCCCCCTTCGCTGCGCGGCTTCCTTTCGGAAGGCCTGGAGATCAGTGGCCCCCCCGCCTCCGCAGCCGCGTC